GGTATAACCTCCTTTACTTTAAACAGAAAAACATTAGAAATGAGTATACAAGGTAGAGGTACGTGGATTATTTGCACAATTTCAGTTAAAATTCAAGCCCATAACAATGTTTAATTTATAGCAAGTTAGAATCTGAACACTCAATCCACAGAAGATACAAACTATTTTCAGTGTTGCTCCCGCAAAAAGTATACTAAGTTGAACTATGAAACATATGCAAAAAACCAGACAAACTTTAAATGGGAAGGATTACAGTATATGGAATTAAATTATTATTTTGATAGAATTCAGAAAAGTTTTCAGTAATAGCTTTCTTTTAACTAACAATACAAGGCCTTTTTTGGGGGGTGGGGTGTTTTGCCATATAGATTTTAAGCCAAATCTAAAAGTAAACATGTATAAACAGGAAAACAGAAATAACCCTTTTTCCTGTAACTTATATTTGTTTGGTTTTTTGGTAGTAATACGATTATTTAAACAGACTTTCAATTTTATCAACAAATTTGCAAATCGTAGCATTTTAAACCGGAAACACTAATCCAGAGAAATTACAATGATTTATACAATCCCATCTTTCCTTAAATTTTGATAAATTTTGTTTTCTTTTGTAAATAAAATTTTCTATTTTGTGGAAATATCTTACTTTATTAAGAAGTTCGCCTCTAGTTGGTTTTCTCTCCTTTATTTTACAAGTAAAAATATAGAATTTGGTAATGAGTAATATAAGGTTAAATAACATCTTATTGCTAACACACTTTAAACCAAATAACATGGACCATTTTTTTTAGGTCAATATGAAACCAGCAACTCTTATTCCTGACATCCGTCTTCACTTGAGTAACTCTCGTAAAATCATTATTTACTTTTGATACCAGCATTGACAACGCTCACCTAAAAAATAAATAGGCCTACTTCTCAATAGTTCAATCTATAGATAGATCAATTAAATTATAGTCTGGTACATATCAATACATTTCGAAAATAGACAACATTAATAATTGTAAAAAATAGAAAATGTTCTCTATTCAAGCCTAAATAGCGTCGCTAACAACATCTTGCTCTCATCTTTTTTGCCTGAAGAAGATCCACTGATAGAGGAACGAAACGTAGCAGTACGTATACTTTTAATTGGTTATAATTCAAGAATTCTGCAATCAATATTCTTTGTGTTTTATAAAGTTCTCCAAGTATTAAATTTCCACCATCAGAAGTAATGCTGGCCTTTTCTTATATTTATGTATTTGAGGAAAAGCATAAATGTTCGTATAATTAACAGAACATAGCCTTATAGATAACATATCAGCGTAGAGATGATGAAACCGGCAACTCTTATTCATGACATCCGTCTTCACTTGCGTATCTCTCGTAAAATCATTATTTCGTAACTTACTATGTGCCGTTTGATACCAGCATTGACAACGCTCACCTAAAAAAATGAATAGGCCTACTTCTCAATAGTTCTATCTATAGATAGATCAATTTAATTATAGTACTGGTACATATCAATACATTTCGAAAATAGACAGCATTAATAATTGTAAAAAATAGACAATGTTCTCTATTCAAGACTAAATAGCGTCGCTAACAACATCTTGCTCTCATCTTTTTTGCCTGAAGAATATCCACTGATAGAGGAACGAAACGTAGCAGTACGTATGCTTTTAATTGGTTATAATTCAAGAATTCTGCAATCAATATTCTTTGTGTTTTATAAAGTTCTCCAAGTATTAAATTTCCATCATCAGAAGTACTGCTGGCCTTTTCTTATATTTATGTATTTGAGGAAAAGCATAAATGTTCGTATAATTAACAGAGCATAGCCTTATAGATAACATATCAGCGTAGAGATGATGCAGGTACTTCCATCAAGTTCTGGAACTAAACCCACGCACTCCATCGAAGATATTTTGGGTCTAGCGGGATCAAATGATACATCTGAGGGCCAAGAGACACTTGTGAGTAAGATGTCAGAACATTCCAAACGAAACCTGGATTTGGCTGATAAAGAAAAGCACAATAATCATCATCGAAGAAAAGATAATTCCGGTTAGGAACATTTACTTCTATTCTTTTTTATAATATATTAAATTTAAACTTTTTAATGAAAATGCAGATATTAAAAAGATGTTATTGCCAACCATGCAGTCCATGAACACATGTGTGATAGGTAACACAAAAAAGAGTCATTTCTATTGTTAAACTTGATGCCGTTCTTTGTATTATTATTATTATTATTATTATTACCATTATTATTATTATTATTATTATTATTATTATTATTATTATTATTACTATTACTATCATCATTATTAATCAACAGAAGTTTACTATATGATTTTAAAACAAAAATTATTGACAAAAAAGAAGATCGACGATTCGAGTCCATCATGGGCACATTTTCAAGATCAAGTGATCAACAATATACAAAAGTAGACAAAGTGTCTACTTTTGTATATATATATATATATATATATATATATTATCATATATATATATATATATATATATATATATATATATAGCATTGTTGTTATTCA